AAAAAAAAAAAAAAAAAAAGACCTGAAAACCAGCAGGGAACAGAAGATTAATTTATTTTGGAATTTGAATAATACTTTTTCCAATGGCAGTCAAGTTGAGTCAACCATCACCCACCGCGAGTGAGCATAGCAAACACATCCTTTGCTATGAAGCTGACCAAGCCCCACAGAAAAACTTTGGCGACAAACCTGGACCTTCCTTGCCGTATCGCACCTCCTTGCTTACCTTCTCTCTCCCCGGTCTTCCCAGTATGTTGATGACCCTGCAGCGGTACGTTCTGCGGTCCTGCCACAGCGCTTGTCCCCTTCGTACTTTGTTGTTCTGTGTCATGACCTTTGCTCGGTATCGAAGATCCAGGTGCTTCTGAAGATGGGCTGTCTGTCGGGGACTTTCTTCGGGCTGGGTACTTACCGCAGGTTAGGCAGAAGACTTGGTTGTCGAACTGCAAATCAAACCCACAGCCTTCACAACATATCTCTCCCCACCTCCCCTTCCCCGGAGGGTTTTCTTCGCCAAACACGCGCTTGAACACTCTGTAATTGTACAAGTGCTCCGGATCGCGGATTTCCACCCGATCTGCCTCCAAAATATGTTTCTGTGCCTGCTTAAACTCCTCCTGAGACATCGATGACTCAAAGTAACCAGGCAGCGACGTAGTCCCGCATCCAACCTGCAGTCCCAATAGTGCACAAGGCCCACAAACAGGCTTCAAACCACTCACCCTCTGCCCCCTCAAGATTTATTCTCACTGCAAACTCCCCCTACCATCCATCCTGCTCCCCTTCGTTCTGCTATCGTTCGGTTCCTTGCATCTTTTATCAACATCAAGAGAGGAGAAGCCTTTGATGTTGATAAAAGATGCAATTTGCATTTGGCTGCTTACAACACCTCTTCGTTCTGCTATCGTTCGGTTCCTCGCATCGTCTACCAATATCAAAGGCTTCTCCTCTCTCATTGGATGCAAATTGCAGAGCATTGGTCCAAGCTTATTCTTCATGCTGGGCTTTTACCTCTGGCAAAAGGGTTGAGAATCTTGACGGCGGAAAAAAAAAAAAAAAAAAAAAAAAAAAAGAGGAAATCTTGAGATCCCACCACACTGAACAGTAAGCAGTTGAAAGAGGGAGAGGGAGAGGGAGAGGGAGAGAGTTTCACCGGACTCTCACTGACTCATCGGGATGCTGAATCACCGACAGTCGGCGGCATCCCACGAGGGTATTCCAAGTGATAATCTGCTCTGAAACCCGATCAAAGGTGGGCAGGCAGGCGGATTAACGCAACAAGCTAGGCAGCAACATGGCAGGTGAGTGAGAGGGGCAGATGCAATGCAAAGCAGTCAAGCAACAAAGCAAGCAGCAGCAACACACCTTGGAGGGGAGGGGGGGGGGGAAGCAAGCGTAGGCGGGCAAATGGTCAGGTGAGCAGCAGGGCAACACTGCAAAGGAAATGGGCAGGAGGGCAAGCTGCGAAGCGAGCAGCAAGCCAACAGGGAAGGCTGCAACCACATGCAGCAAAGGCAAAATAGAAGCAGCAAAACAGCAACCTACACACGACAGCAAGTACCACAGCTGATAATCACACACTCGGCCCCACATGGAACGTTTCCAGTCATCTGCACTTTATTCTTCCAAGCTTAAGAGCAGCATCAACACAGCTACCTACACATAACAGCAAGGACCACAGCGGGTAATCACACACTATTCTCTCCTCTCCTCTACTCCTCTCCTCTCCTCTCCCCTCCTCCCCTCCTCTTCTCTCCTCTCCTCCAATCCTCTCTTTCTCCCCTCCTTTCCCCTCCTCTCCCCTCCTCGCATGTCTATTTCGCTCTTCGCTGTCGCTTCTACGGCTAGATTGCCTGTGGTCTTCCCCAAATACACCACCAAGTTAAATCTCCCTTAAGGGTGCTGTGCATCTGTTTCTTCTGTTTCTTTTCAGCCCTTACAGACCCCCACCGTGAAACATGGTTTTCAGACACACCCACTTTTCCCAGAACGACCTGAGCCACCTCCCAAACCATCCCCACAACAGAGGACGGACCTCCGAGCTCGGTTTTGGCTGGTGTGCTCGATCACAGCACTCAAGAAGTGTTATGTTCGGGATGCCAACCGATTACCTTTCAATGTACAGTTATAAACCCATCGGATCCGCGATCCAATGGCCCGTGTGCGGTGAGGATAGCACAGCTCTGCACACTGTGGCAACAAGTGGCTGCTGGGCTCTGAAGGGCGCATTCAAAAGAAGGAAAAAAAAAACACTACTCGCTGCAGTAAA